CTCAGCAAAGTCGCTGCTGAGAAAGACGCAGCGAGCTCAGTCTGTTCAGAGATTCTGTTGCTTCTTCAGAGCTACACTCGTCGCCATGGAATTCCTTTTGGATTCTCCGATGAGGATTCCGTTACACGTCAGCCTCCGTCGTATTTCATCTGCCCAATCTCGCAGGTATGTTGATGACAAGTCTTTGACCAGACCACTTGTTTTACTAGAACCAAAACCAATGCAGAAAGAATAGGTTTTGTTCGATTTATTTGGTCACAGGTAGTTCAAATGTTTACAGGTCAATGATTGTTTCTTCGTATTTCAGGAAGTAATGCGAGAACCTCGTGTTGCAGCCGATGGTTTCACATACGAAGCTGAGGCATTAAGAGAATGGCTCGACAATGGTCACGAGACATCACCAATGACGAACCTTAGGCTCGCCCACAACAACCTTGTCCCTAACCACGCCCTTCGTTCAGCAATTCAAGAGTGGCTTCAACGAAACTCTTAATGAATCTCTGCTTTGTCTTAATCTTTTGTGTTTGCTAAAAAGTTATTTACACTACTTTGGAGTGGAATTCATAAAAAAAAAAACTGTTTGGTTCTCCTCTCTAATAGCCGCCTTGAAGGAAAACGGCTTAACCCATATTACAAAACTGCTTGCTGTTTTACTCGCGGTCAACTTGTCTGCCGTCAACACTTTCGGAAAACGTCATGTAGTGTTATGAAATGTCCTTTTCGATGGGCCAATCTATCTATCCCTTTACAAAACATGGCCCAACAAGAGCCCACGTATTTGCTAGAGAGTTTTGCACACGTCGTGAGCCAGTACGAAACGTGTGTACAAACAAAACAAATGAGATTTTTTAATCGTGGGAGGGTATTATTGGTCGTTAGTACATTGATCTTACTTATTATTATGACTAGGTCGACAACATTACATTTTTCGAATTATAAAAAGATAAATTACATTCTTAGGTACTTTTTTTCAAAGTCCTTAAGTTATTAGGTAAAAAAATTCAGCTTGATTTATTTATCAACGGTCACTTACGTGGCACAGAACGAGCGAAAGAAAGGTTATTGAGAGGCATTAGATTCTCGATCATATCGGGATAATAGTCATATTCAAACATCTTCTTCATGGATCCTCTCCAATGGGGAAGATAATAAGACCTCTTCTGGTTAATTCCTTGGTATGCGACTTGTCTTGTTCTCTTACTCTCGAGATCAAAACGGTTGTTTTTTCTTCTTGGGCATAAAAATAGCTTCGTGTCCCTGAGTGACACCACAAAAATAGTGTCTTGAGGAGTTTTTTATTTGACCATCAAGAGGTCTTAATGACCATTCTTGTTTTTGGGCATCTTCAAGAACCCATAAACTGCTGGTGCGAGTGCAACTCCAAGCTAACTTTCCTTTGTAATTGATCATAGCACATGTCACATCTCTGATATCAACATCACACACTCCCTCGGGTTTTATGATTTTTGCAAACGTTTCAGCTCTAACATCAATTAAACTCACTATAAAATCACGTTCAACAAGATAGTAATAAAGAACTCCGTTGATGCATATTCCCCCTCGGACACTTATCTGACGACTATCCATATTCCCCCTTGTCGCGCGTATATGTTCGTAAAGGCGAGGGTGAATTTCGATCTTTCCCCATTTTTCTTTTGCTCCCAATGTAAAAACCTTGAGGTATTCAGCCGCATGAGTTCCATAATCTGAGTGACCTGACATAGACAAGACTTTATACTTTTGGTCGATAGGATCGTATCCGATAAAGCTTACTACAGGAGGAAAGATATTAGATTCGGGTAAAACGACATGTTGTCTCAATGTCGGATTCCAAATGATGTGGTAGAAACTATACAGTCCATACTCAAACAACATCAAGCCGTTGGTGGAGTTTAATATTCTATAGGCAGTGGTGACTGTGGGGGCGGGAGGATCATGATCTAGTTCAGAGTCTACAACCCAAATCCCTAACCCTGATAGCCACTTGATATTAAATTTCTCCACCCGAGTGTGAGGGTTTTGGGGGTCCTGGTGGTACGGGAACGACATGTAGATCCGCTCCCGCGTAAACGCTTCTTCCAAGACGCACATGAGAGACGGCCTAGCCGACGCGTGAATTGAGAAGGTTTTGATGAGTGCTTGTGACGGAACACCACTGCTTCGACACGCACCGGAACCTCACCACGGCTTTTGCTGGCAACCTTGACACTATCTCTATCACCAAGTCCATAGTAATCGGCCCAATTAATCTCTTTTCATTCTGCATTTCCATGACAAACTAACCCCAAAGTTTTCTTTTTCTTTTCTCTTGTTTCTCTTTCTCCATTTATCCGGCTCTACATCTCTATATATATATTATAGTGTGGACATGTACGTGTTGTCCTCACATGTTTTTTTTTTTTTTTTAAAGTTGTTCTCACATGTTTTACCTTTACTTAACGTAAAGTGAGAAAGTATGATATTGCAAATTTCTTGTTTTATGGCAAAATGTCATTTTAGATATAATATCATAATTATTATTAATAACTTTCAAGATTTTTCTTTTTAAAATAGATTTTTCTATTTTTGCGGACACATATTATATATTGTAATTAAATAATTAACAAATATATGGAAGGTATCAAGATATTGGATTTTTTCTATTTTTTTCCTAAATTTATAAATCTCAAAAAGATAAGTTAATGTAAGGAAAAATTAATTGTGTCCTTTTTCTTATTTGTTAACTACTGAACCAAATATTACAAGAACAAAAAGAAGATTTAGCACAAAAAGAAAGAACAAAAAGAAGAATAAAACAATGGGAAAGAATTAACTGTGAATACTAAATATATACATATATAAATGGCAATGAATTTGGAACATATGGATGATAAAAACAAAGGAAGAAAAATATATACTTTTGTTATTAAGGAAAATGTTATTGGATATTTTATTAAAATAAAATGTATGTATCCATTAAATTATGTCAAGGATTTTACTATGTTAATGTAAAATTATTTTCATAATAATAATTAATAGTAGTATTGTGTGTAATTGTGAATGATTGTGTGCCAAAAAATATACGTGTGGGTTTCTTTTTATCAAGTTAATAAATAACTCTTTTGGTTAAAAATAGAATCCATTTATAATTTGTTTGAGGTCTTCAACAGTTTCAGAACGTCGTGCTTATTCCAATTATTCAACAAACGACACTCGTTCGTTGGCAGACCTTCTGAAAAAGAAAAAAAATTATACACGAGTACGCATAATAGTAGCGTCGTAGACTCATCCAAACATACGCAATAAAAACTTTCTAGAGCTGTCCATTTTTTATTATCAACTCATTTCATTAATAAAGGGGTTTTAGCCCATTACACAGTTATGGTCCAACTTAGCCAAGAGATCACCATTCAATCGTGGGATATGTTTGAAGATAACAGAGATAAACAAAGCAAACCAAATTCTTATGTCCTGTACGATTCCATGAATTTTCGAGATTGGAGACCCAAAATTGACCGCTCGAATCAGGGTCTATGAATCGGAGTTGAAGACAGTGTTCTTGTGGCTCAAAGCCAATGCTTGAAGAGTTGCAGATCGTAAAGCCATCGCTTCGACTACAAGGGCAGAGAAAACATTGAGGCGTGGTGACGAGTGTTCCAGAATGGTGGATGAGGTAGACTCAAGGGTCCATCCGATGCCAGCCATGTCCGATCAACCTTCCAAACTGCATCGGTAAAACAATTGATGAATCCATCCAAATTGGATCGAGGGTTCTGTTTGGGGATCCATTTCAAATGGCTTTTTATAAATAAATATTAAATATTACCGATATAGCAACAATGCCAACATCGTCTAAGAAAAAACAATATCTATTCAAATACGATGGCGTCATGGCGATTGGCAGAATTCATATCTTAAGAGTTGTGTGACAAAAAAAAAGGTTTCATGACAAGCAATAGCGGTGTTCACATGAACTTACGCACCGCAAAAAACCTAAAAAGTTATGCCGCCCCGTGAAGAAAGAAAAGGCGATCTCGATGTTGTTGGCTCGGCCGACGGTCGGGGGTTCCCCTAGCTCCGCTGTCGGTCGGGTTTTGTCTCTTAGATCTAGGTGTAGTGCTCCTGTGTAGTTTTCGAGTTAAGGCTGTCCGTATCTGGCGGAGAAATTTCGAGATCTGGCTCGGTGAAGGTGGGGTTTTGACCGTCACTGTTTAGTGAGTCCTTCGGCGGAGCGTCTATTCGTGTGCTGGTTCAGAGATCCGACTGAGGGTTGTATATCTAGCTCTCGGAGAAAGTGCTCTCAAGTATGGCTCTGTGCATAGTTAGCAGATCGGATCGACTGGTTATGGGTCCTTTGGTATCGAATTGATTTGGTATTAGGTGGTCTTTAGCTCGGTTGATTGTCGTCCCTGCTGTTTGTGATTGAGGAGTCTTATCATTGCCGATTGTCTCTGGATTTTCTCTCCATCGGATCTGAACTTCTGTAGTTTGCGTATTTGATCGACTCGACTAGTTTTTGCTTTAGACAGCGGTTGTTCCCGAGGTTTGGTTCAAGATTTATCTCCTCTCTGGCTGGTTCTTGTGCTTTGTCTCTGTTGGCCCATGGTCCTGCTTATGGTGGCGTCTTGGTTTGGTTCAAGATTGATCTCCTCTCTGGCTGGTTCTTGTGCTTTGTCTCTGTTGGCCCATGTCCTGCTTATGGTGGCGTCTTGGTTGTAAGTGTTTAGTGTGATCTTTCATTGATGAAGAAGTTGTCCTCGAAGTTCTTTTGCCTCGCATAGCTGCTTAGTTTTCTCTCATTCCGCGATCTAAATAATTCTTCTATTGGCATTATGTACTTCAACTCCTTGCCTTTGTGTTTGGGTTGGATTTGAAGAAACGTGGTTTTGATCGGGTTCTAATCTTGCTTGTTGGTGACTTCTTTCTTCAGGTTCATTCTGGCTACGATCACTCTTATTTGGTTTCAGATTGGGCTGTGGACTTGGTGTGTTCGACTCGAGTGCGCAAAGTAGCTCCTTCACGCCTTTTCGCTTCCGTGAATTTGATGTAGGTTCTCATTGCTTTGGGGTTCAATGGAGGGAATGGCATTTGCTTCCGTGAACATGTTAATGAAGATATACTAGAATG